TAGTCATTATCATATTACTTCAACCTTAAACCCGAAATAATATTTAACTAGGGACATTTAGAATACATTATTCTAAGGTTATTTACTATGAATAATTAAAACACAGAATATAATATATACATAATAAAATGGGCAATGCCTTTATATTTATCAATTTCATGAAACAAACTCAAAGTTACAATCATCATATGATTGGTTTTTGGGCATTCACTAACAATACTGTGTTTGCTTATAATCAAAGGAATTTCATTAAATAAGCCGTCTTTACATTTGAAACTTGTAACGGAACCCTAAACACTGACTTCATTTCTAAAGTTAAATACAATTAGTTTATGTATTACAAGTTCGATTTAAAAGGGAAACGTAAATACGAGAAAATAAGAATATCGAGTATTAATCAATTGCGTCTAGATCAACTGTATTGAATAAACGAGTGATGGAAAATGATAGAAGTTGAAACGAGTTGCCAAATGCTAAATGGCAATATTGACGTTTTTATTTTCATTAATTGTTTTATTATTAAACTGACTAAATAGATATACGCATGCTCCATGCACACAGTCAAACTACATATGTTAGAGAATGTATTAATTGGATCATACAAACCTCAATTTGATTCGGTTATTTCGAAAACATAATTAAAGCCACATGATTTTGCTAATATTGACAAGGGTATTTTTGTCTTTTATAAGTAAAACTAGTTACAGTAGAATATTTATGTGTACATTTCGAGCACTTAAATGTTCTTGCTAGAACATGAACATCGAGGCCAAAGTCACGAATGACTCTTGTTATCGTACACATTATTGCCATCCTACACAAAAGCATAATAATCATGACTTTTATAGTATTTTTCAACGCACTAGATAAACTATATCGATGGAATTCATCGAGTCATAAAGCCAACTAGGTTATACCTAGTCATTAGCGGCATTTAAGTTGAAACTGACGACTCGTAATGAAAGTGACCATCTATTTTATTGATTGACGTTATCGATATGATGAATCTTAAAAAGGCATCATGCAAAAACTCGTAAATCTCACGACATCTCTTTTCCCGAACAATCATTGGGTTCAAGGTAGTTTATTTGGGCTCTAGGGTTAATTTTGCAGTAAATGTGGTTGTTCAGCGATGATCATGTCAATTGGTAATTGTAGTTTGTTTGGCGGACTCAGTCACGCATTATTGCACTTGTAGGTCGTCATGCACTAAAATGAATCAACTTAACCGTAAAAACATAACAAGTTGACGAGACCATAATTCATTCTCTGTACTAAAAAAATGAAATCTAAGTTTTAAACACTTCAGGTTACAAAATTCACATTTTTCCTGAATAGACTCCAAAGTAGATTGAATGAGGTCGGTTTAATGTTGTAATAAGAAGTTGTATGAATATTTAGTTTACTTAAATAGTAAATAAAGAAAGACTAATTTGATATTAGAGTAAATTACGAATTTCGTCTCTATGTTTGTTGAAAATTGTGGATTGAGTCCCCTAAACGAAATAATTATATGTATGGTCAATATTGTTTCACGCTTATTATAGATTGGGTCATGGTAGCTATGAATCGTTCGTATTCACAGAGTGGACACAGAGTCTTCATAGTGGCGGTGCAAGTGCACGCCGACACTATGATCGTTTGCAAGTAATATAGTGGTAAGAGACTGAGATCATTTCCACAGGGATTGAACTGCCGAGAATGAGAGAATTTCATGAACTTCTTGAGCATGTTTCTGATTGTGAGTAAAAGTTGGATTTTGTTAATAAAAGTTTAAAATACGAAATAAACGAAATAGACTTATAAAATAAAAGATGGGCATGAGTGTAAGTATTCGTTCAAATAAAAACAACAATATAATGGTTAGAAACTTATGAGATGTATATAGAAATTTCAATCTCTCGAAAGTGAAGATTTATAAACAGATCCCACAAACTTCTCACTCTTACCACCCCGAAACTTGTTGATTTAGCTAACCCAGAAAAAGAAATAAAATTTATACTCCAAATCTCTTTGTAATATAAATCTCCAATGTTTAATCCTTAGCTAAATACATACAAAATTCGTATTTCTACGTAATTATCAAAGACTTTCTCAAGTTCTTTGTGCATCACTCAAGCCGTATTTCGAATCCGTCCATCTCTGGGTCAAAGATCTAATATTAACACTTCAAAATGATCGGCTTATCTGCGTTGAGTTTTAGTCATGACTTAAGTGACCAAGTTTACGAAGTGGTAAAGAATAAAAACACCCAGTTATTGCATAAAAATCCTAAGTTAACTCACACCTGCACCCATATAAGTAATTAGTTCATAATAGACATGAAAATAATAATATAAGACAAGAAATG